ATATTTGTCACAATACTTCTTGATATTCCTTAAGTATTTTTGGTGTATGAACAGATGAAACAAAGATTAAACTTTTTGGAAAGTGTCTGTCCTATTACATTTGACATAAAACTGACATAACATTTCAGAAAAAACATATCATACTGATAGTCAAACATGGTAGTGGTGTGATGGACCTTTAATAATGGAATATTCCACTCTCTAAGTGAAAGTTTTGCAGAAAGTCTGGAACTGGGTCTTGAAAAGTGATAATGATACAAACTATGAAATGACGCAAATTAGCAAGTTAATCTGGGAATTGCTTAGAAATGTCAAAAAGTCAAAAATAGGCACTTCATCTGATTGAGATCCTGTGGCATGACCATAAACAGGCCACCAGTGGTCAAAAATCCTTGAAGCTGCCACCATTAGATTTGGAGGGTAATTCATTGTTTTTCACGCTGGGCCATGTGTCCGGTTTAGTTTAAAATCATAATTTGAGATTTTGAAATAAGTCTGTATTCACTCAACTACAGTTGGTCTGAAAGAAAACTTTCTTTTGTGCTCTGAAGCAAAAAATAAAATAAAATTGAGAGGTACCAAACACCTTTTCATCTCACTTTATATATAGCGTCACCATAACTTAACTTTTAGACCTTCTCTTTGCTGTTCTGTGACTGGTCTGAAAACACGTAGTAGGTGCATTGATGAGTCAGAAGAGCAGCGCGTTTTTCTCCGTTAACATTTCGGGAATCAGTCAGACCTCCAGCCACGGTCAGAGGTCTACGCTCCGTCACACCTTGATAACGTGCTCTAATAACCCGAAACAGAATATTTTCCATCTAGAAAGAGCAAATCCTTTCTCCATTCATTTTCAGTTTCTTCTTGTCTCTTCATTATTAAGCACATGTGTATACTTTCACACCTCATGTGGGTTGGTCACAGAACGGGATCAAATGAATGAAGATGGAAACGTAACGATCACCACTAAAAACGCCTCTCCAACAAGCCCGAATAAACTCATAAAAACTTACTCGTCATCTGCGATGTTTTGGCCGTTCAGGAGGTTTTTTTCACTTGGTGCGTAAGACCAGTCGTCCTCTATGATCCCGATATAGTAAACTCTCTCCCTGCTGTATGCTCCTTCCGCGCCAAACGAGAGAATAAACAACAAATTACTTAGCAAGAGCCAGAATCTCCGAGCCATGTTAGGACGTGACCTCAGTTCGCTGACGGGAAGGAAGCTCCGAGGAACAAGTGAAACCTCCGCAGAGAGACTCAAGTGCGTCCAGGGTGCAGCAGCACTTACGAAACCCTGCAAATTAAAACAGTTAGTCCCTTCAGCCGGAGAGCACCGGTGATATGACCGCCTCCTGTGGTACCAGATGGGCAGGCATAACAAGCACTCGTTCTGGCACGTCAAAATATAACTAAATTCCTCTGCAGAGACATTAAGATAATCGATGAATTTTACGGACTCAAGCACACAAGAGAGCTCTAATCTCAGTTAGCTGTTTTTTTTTTTTGTTTTTGTTTTTTGTTTCTATGAATAAGCACCTTGTTATTTGCCTTCTCTTTCACATTGCTACCAATATACAGCAGTGGTTCTCAAACTTTTTTTTTTTTTATAAATGCAAGCTCAGTAAATTTACAGATTTTCAAGTACTTACCACTTTATGACTAATATTTTAAAATAGACATTTCTCAGTTAATTGAAAACAAAGAAAATAATAATAACCAAAGGTTTCTCTGAGAAACTATACTCAGAGATCTAAATTCAATTGAAAATCAGATAATTAAACGAATATGCATTCGCAAACCATTGCTGAGATAAGATAAGCCTTGTCATACATGATATTAGAACATTATCATGACTTCTGACTCAGTCATGCAATAAAATATACTATATATATATATATATATATATATATATATATATATATATATATATATATAAACTTTCATTAAGATGAGCGATGTTGAAATTTTCCATTGACTCTTTGTTGTGAGTTTTTGATGCATTCCCTAATAACAGCAGATAAGTAGCAGATTTTGCACAACATATTCTGTCATTTGAACAAAATATTCTCTGTTTATTACTGTATGTGAGGTATGTGTTAAGAGATGCTGATAGGAAAGTTTAATCTTCCTTACATTTACAAACATTTTTATGTAAACATTAGTACCTGATTGTTTAAAGTAGTAATTCATGTCTGTAGGCACCTTCACAAATGTCAGAACTGAACATTGAATACTAGAGGTTAATTCTAATTAAATTTTAAATGTCAACATATCCATCCACACACATACATGTTCAGTTTGGACCATTGGGAAAATGCCGCACACTAAAAGTGTTTCAGGTCAAACTGACCTACTGCCCAATTATTACCAGAGTAACCAGAGAAAGCACGTTTTATGGCACTCAGATTCTGGTCATACAAGATTTTTCTTTTAGGTTTTCTACTTGTTTGTTTTTCCAGTGAAACTATCTCTAAAAGTTTTTGTTAATTTAGCTCTGCACTCTGCCATGTGTGTCACCACATAAGAAAAGTGGGTAAGTAAGGCAGGAAACCACGTTGGTCGTGTTATTGTTCTCAGTGGTGTAGAGTTGCCACTTCTTGTCCAAACAAACTGAAGGAGCACATTGTTTCACTGGATTAAACCAGAATGTCCTGGGGGATGTCTCATATTATGCCACGAATTCCACAAAATAATACAGATAAAGTCATCAAACAAGAAAATATAATAGTTTATGATAAAGAAGTTCCCCCAAATTACATTCATAAGTATTTGAAGTGTGTTTAAACACTTCTAATAATGTGTACACTCACAGAAGCACAGTCTGTCTTTATATTGCTTTCTTAAAATCATTTTAGAGGTTCTAATATGTTTTTTTTTAATTACAAGTATATTCTCTTTAACCTAAACACATTTAATAACTTAATTTATTGGTTTACACAGCGATGGGAGCATCAATAATATAAAACCAACGTAGCTAAAACATTATTTAGTGTACACCTTAATTTTTGAGTTCCACATAGTATCGAAGAATCTTTCATTGTTATTTGATGACTTTCTCTTTCACTTAATGTGGTCCATTTCCTGTGGCCACTTTTACAAATAGAAAAGGAAATAGGAATAGGAAACCATTATTATTATTAATAATAATAATAATAATAATAATAATAATAATAATAATAATAATAATAATAATAATAAGTATACAGATGTCTTTTGTGATCAGGACCAGCTACAAAAAAATGTTGTTTGCATAAACTTGCACATTGTCTGATTTTAATTGCTGTTTTAAACAATGGAAATTGTGACAAAGATTGGATCAAGTTATCCTCTGCCACGAAAAACAATAAAATCCCCCTTTTATAGTAGAAGGCCCATTTAAACCTCAGTAATTTCACAAACATATTTGTGGTGCAAACAACTATTGGCTTCTTTTTGGATTACAACCCACTGCAAACTTGAAAACTACTTAAAGGTTCATAAAAACTTTTTCACATAAACCGCTTAGCTCCAGTCATTAGGAGCAATTAATATGGACATATATAATAAGTATAAGAACTATCTACTTCAGCTCACATATTAAATATTATATATTATATTTTATATTTTGACAGAACTCGACTCTAAAATTTCTGAACAACTCCTTGTTTCTTTCTTAATTTTACTCTTACTCAATACTCAATCAGTAGTAATTGAATATAAATGCAGAGGCAAGAAGAAAAGTCAACAAGGCTAATGGAGCATAAGATTAACTGACATATTATTGTGTACATTTTGATATAGTTTTCATATTATAACTATAAATATGTCATGAGAAAAATTTCAAATCAGAAGACATTTTGGAATCCCCCAATAATTATTTCGAAATCAGAACTCCTCCACAGTAAGGCAAAAGTTCTTTTGTTTTTTTTATCCATATCAACCATCTGAATAGTTCCAAGGTTAAAATCTGTTGAGGTCAGCAAGAAGGACTCTTAACACATTTCGGAGTTTCCTAGCCAAAGGAGGACATAGTCATAGGACAAGAAGTGGAACAATATGTTCTCCAAACAGTCAATGACAAGCAGTTAGTAAAAGTCTACAGTTTAAATTGTGTAGTAATTTGTGACAAGGCTTGACAAGGAGATTAATGTTAAACACAGTACATAACAGCTTCAACATTTCACACACAGAAAAATTATAATAAAAAAAAATCTACAGTGTTTAACTATAACTGGATTAATATGACTAGAAATTAGAGGATTTTTTTTTGTCACAACCTGTTATACATAGAGTCAGCACCTGACAGAAATCCTTGTATTTCCACACAAATTGAGGAAGTGCATCTCTTGTTTGTGTGGAAGAGCATTCGCAACATATTCAAAAATGTTAAGAAGTATTTTATTTCCTGTTAATACAGTATTTCCAATTCAAGGTTATTTCATTCAAAATGTAAAGCTAAGCAACAACACAGATTTTTTAAATTAACATTCCTGCTTGTCGCTGCATCAGTTTAGTGGAGAGAGCTGTCTGTGTCTTACATGTGGGTGTTGGGCCTTCCATGTTAGCTTCTAATAACTGAGCCAAAAATGACTATGTGTTTTATGTAAAAAGTCAAAACGAAAGGCTAGTTTTAGAAGTTATTCTTATTTTTGTGCAATGTACTCACTTTTTAAAAACTAGAGCAATTTTTTATGTATATATTATGCCATATTTATTTGTTTTCTATTTGTTTGCTTGGATTACTTTTATATTTTTCTTAAATATTGGAAAGCTCAACTCACCTTATTTTACTCAATAAAGTGTACTCAAATGTATTTTTTCCATAGTCTATAATAAAAAAAAATCCCCTAATTTGACCTTAAAACTAACATTTCTTTAGTCAGTACATATTTTGACTAATGACAAATTTAAATCAAAAATCACTTATCTTGATTTAAATTTGAAACCCGTATCAAGTACTCTGAAACCGGTACTTGACGATAAGCTCTAATTTCCGGGGCAACATGAACGCAGCATACGTGCACGGAAAGCGTTGGGCCCATGGTGCGCCTGCCCCCCACACCGTGTTTGTGCTGCCGCCCTCGCAACAGAGTGTGTTTCTGCTCAGCCTCACAGACATGGCTGCTTTAAGTAAGATACCACACAGCTGCTACGAGGTCGGTCATACCTGGCACCCGTCGTGTGTGCAGTCTGCCGCAGACATAACTAAGGGGGCTCTGGAGGTGTCCTTCAAAATTTACGCCCCTCTTTACCTGGTAAGTTGCTTTGAGTCTCTGTCCATAGACTGGTAGCTAAGTAAAGTTGTCTAGCTAACCGAGTGAGCATAGTTGCTGTGAGAAAGACACTACGGATTAGCTAATGCTACAACTGAGGTGCAAGTTCGAGTCCTGTATGAGGACAAACAGAGAAGCTAGCCTAATGAAGCCCGTCTGTTGTTCCATACAAAACGTCATAAGCAGGGGGAAAGTTAAAGCAAGTTTTCTGCGTCAAGAGTTTTGTGTCAGAGTAAGCTTTGTCTTATCTTGCAAACTCTAAAACGTATTTGCTGATGCTAGAAAAATATTCAAAGGCTTTCAGTACTCTGTATCGTTAAACTCTTTTTCATTGACATTATCTAATAATATTTACAACCATGGCATGACTCAGATGCCATTGTACGCTGGCTGGTAAAAATAGGGAGGTGATGCATTTATATTTCAGTGCCTGTAACTACAATGTCATATCCCCCTCCGGCCCAGTTTGAACATACAGTATTCATAGAATCAGAGACTGAACCACAGAACACTTTATAACCAAAAAGCTCTGTTACAGATTTTCCCTTTAAAGTCTTCATTGTAGAACAGTGTATCTTTTAGTCTGGACCCTGAGAAAAATATAAATTTTAGGTATTTCAATGCTAACTTGTGATAAATGTTTTATTCTGAACCAATTTAAACTAAGGTTTAACTCAAAGCTGCACATGCACATGTGTGTAAAAACACACACAAGGTCACTTTCATTATTTAAGCACCAATAAAAATACGACCATGTTTGCCTTGACTGAGCAAAGTACGACTGTGTAGGGTAGCAAATACGTAAACTAACTACAAGAATAACAGGCCTTCCCAGTTGGAACAGGCCCGTATGAACTTCTCACAATATGATAACTTTGATTAAGAATGCCATGATTGGAGATTTTTATTTGCACAAAAAATATATGTCGAGCATAAATAATATATTTAAATCAAAGAGCAACAATTATTATTTCTGTTGCTAAAATAATATCTAGAGTTTTAAAGTTAAACGTCATCATTCTGCTCTTTAGATTAAGTGTATTGATATAAACTGAAACATGTCTTATTAATAAATGGAGTCTGATCTCCTTAAATCAGGCTGTTTTTCTGCAAGTTCATGCACAGATGTTCTGTTCTTTTAATAGTGCTTTGTAATGAAATTTGGCTGCACTTCTAAGGTATTCACGTCTTACCTTCAACACCAACAGAAAAAAAAAATATGGTGGGCAAATAATTGCAGAATTTAGCAATAGCAACATTTTAAAGGAGGCAAATGTTTTGTTGAATTCTTTGCAGGGTTGCATTGCGTCTTCACATTGAAAATAGACAGCGTTAGCTTAAGCTGCTATAAATAAAATTGCCTTGATTTTATTTCAGATGCCCATCGACAGTGAAGTTAGTATTGAATTCAGAACTGTGATAAATATCAGAAGTCACATCGCATCTTCTTATGATTTTTGATAGCAGTGCTGAACCAGTAAACCACAGAGCATAAATGTCAAGTAAAATGTTTTTTTGCTGCTCAGTATTTGTTAATTACTTAAGCATGACTTATCTCAAGTTGAGCAGTGCGACCACGGTGACTACTGTCTGACTGTGTATTGCAGATAGCAGCAGTTCTACGGAGAAAGAAGAAGGATTATTATTTAAAGAGGCTCCTCCCTGAGATCCTGTGGTCTACCTCTTTCCTTACTACCAATGGAAGTCTCTTCATTGTTTTCTTCTGCATTCTCAGGTTAGTAGTTCCAGCAGATGGCAAATGTCCTGCAATCTGGAAGTGACATTTTAGAAGTGCTGCTGTGAGGTGAATTAGTTTTTCAAGCCAGCTTTGAGGTTTTTTTTAAATAAATTTTTCATGTCTACATGTCTGCAGAATTTAATAAATTATAAAATACCTGTTGACAGTTTTAATCTGAAGTCAGATCTCAGAATAGGGTTTTCTTTGATTACTATCCAAGCATGCCTACATTTTTTATTATAATTACAACCTTGCTTGTTTTCAACAAATACAGTCTAAAAGTCACTTAATGTTTTCAGAAAATCAGACAAAAATTGTATTAGGAAATTCTCCTTTTGATGGTACCTACAACACATAAACGGTACTTGTGAGGTCCATAAATTACAGTGTATTGTCAGAAAGAATAAGTGTACAGTTTGATCCTGAGTTACTAAAAAAAGAGACATTTTGTGTCCTGAGAAGTTCAACCCTAGACCTCATCATATTCCACACATATATTAATCCAACTTTGCATTAAACTCCCAAATTAAGAGGAGATGTGAGTAAAAGTGATGTGAAGTGTTTCCTTTAGAATTCCACCCAAAGGCCTTGTGAAAAATATATTTAGGTTTAAACTAAGTGGGATATCAGACCCCAATGAAAAGAGGTAATTTTGTGAATTTCCTGGACTGTATTGGCATTTTTCAAAGTGAAACTGTTTTGATCTCACTTTAGGAAATTGCTTGGAGGGTTTTACCCATGGTCCTCAGGGTTTGGGGCAGCTTTGCCAGCCTCCTACATCGCCATCCTTCTGGAGCGGAAGAGCAGGTGAGATTTTTGTCCTTTTCTAACATTTTTATTGCATATTTTTGCCATTGAGAATAATAAAATGTTGTATATTTTTGGCCCTAGGTTTCTGGATGGTTTTAATTATATTAATTTATATTTCTTTATTATATTTCTGTATTTTCTTTCCAGGAGAGGTCTGCTGACAATATACATGGCAAATCTTGTAAGATTCTGTTCAATTGCAAATTATCTGTCTCATATGTGCATTTATATTTATTATTTGATTTTTAATTTGTTTTTTTGCCAGGCCAGTGAGACTTTGTTCCGCATGGCAGTGACACGAGGCATCGTCAAGCCCATTAGACACGGAGAGGTGAGATAAAGCCTCTTGATGATTAAATATATTGCAGGAAATACAGAACAGCAAGCAAAACACCATGCATGAATTCCTATTTTGAAGTCAAATATGAAAACAGATTCTATGGTAAAAATCAAGACATGTCACTTGAAATATGCCTACACTCTTTCCTCTCTTTGTCATCTGTGCTTCCTACACTCTGTGACCTTTAGCAGCGTCATTTGTTTCCCTCTGTCAGGATCTGCTGCCATGAGGCTCTAACTGGCTTCATCCGTGGTGCACAAAGTCAGTCCTCAAGGAACTGCGTGTTATAACTCTTTTCCTGCTTCAACACACCTGAATCAAATGATGGTTCATTAGCAGATCTCTGCAGAACTTTGACATGCTTAGGAAGTTGTTGGAATATTTGAATCTGCTGTGTTGGAGCTAGAACTGGCAGGACTGGAGCTGGACCCCTATGAACTGGATATTACATTAGTGTAAAATGTGCGGCCGTAACATTTGGAGTCCATTGTATATTGTCACTGATACTGCAGTGACAATATAGCTGTGATAAATTGTGCAATCTTAGTTTTGGTCTGTGTGAAGATATTACTTGTACTCAGGAAGTATTGTCTTACCACTTTCAACAGTTTATCTAAACTGATAGCATCATGGTGTTGACGTGTTCACATGACAGAGAAATATTTCCTCTTATAGTCCTGATTTTATTTTTCATGCTGCTCCCAATCAGGTGCTCTTGTTCTGTATAACTGCATCAATCTTCATGTTTCTCTTCAGGTAAGAGTGTTGCTTTCAACATATATTTAAACTATTGTTAAGCATAAAGTATTTGTTCAGAGGGGCAGAAGACAAATGCATGCCACACTTTTCAGAATTGAATTTGAAAAAGAAAACAAAAACCTGGTATCATTTTCCCTCTACTGCTCTACTTTGTGTTGGTCTGTCATGTAAAATCCCAATAAAATAAATGTAGGTTTTCGGTAGTATGAAACTACTAACACACACACATGCACACACAAACACAGTTTGAAATGGATCAAGCTCTCTGAATACTTTAAAAAAAACTCTGTGTAAAAAAAAAAAGAGAGGAAAAACAAATCACTTTAATAGTTTGAGATTAACTTGGTTTTATTTTGCAGAAGCAACGACGGCCTTAAGGGCTTCGCATTTTCTGCACTAAAGTAAGTTAGCTCTCATTTTGTTTATACTTCAGGTTCAAATGCCAGAAGTGTTTTGATGAGTCTGATAAGTTTTGAGTTTGTGTTCTGTTACAGATTCATTATTGGGAAAGAAGAGATTCCAACTCACTCTAACATGGCAGACTCTGTTGGCACGCCAGCTGCCATAGAGACCGAACACTCACAGGTCTCGGCAGAAAAAGCCGACCACAAGAGGAAAACTCTGATCGCCTACACCAGGAAGCTGCTGGAATCAATGTGAGAATCAGAAGCATCTACGTAAGAAAAACAAATACCTCAGTAGTAGTTAACAGCAAGTACTGACTTGTTTGTATTTTTCATGATCCAGATGCAAACATGGTCCAAGACACAGATGTTGTAAACATTACCAGGATAACTGCATTTCCTACTGTGTTAAAGTAAGGCCTTTTACCCGTTTTCCTTAAACAATGGATGTAACATGCTTTGAATATATATGCAAATTCGATACCAGTAATGCTGATGTTCCATCATTGTCCCCTCAGGGTTTCGTCAGGATGTTCAGTATTGGCTATCTTATCCAGTGTTGTCTCAAAGTGCCCTCAGCATTCAGGCAGATGTTCTCCAAACCATCTCGGCTGCCTTCTGTCTTCTACAACAAAGAGAACTTCCAGCTGGGGGCCTTTCTAGGCTCTTTTGTCAGTATTTATAAGGTGTGTGAGTGTGTACTCTATGCTCTTCTATTTCTTTAACTTTTATGCATATTACATGTTTCTGTGCTTTCATATTCTCTTTCCATTCTCATGGACTCATCAGAGTGTTGTGCCTCATCTTTTTAGGGAACGAGCTGCTTGTTGCGCTGGCTGCGTAACATTGATGATGAACTTCATGCACTGATAGCTGGTAAGAAAAACCCTGCAGAGCAATCTTCGGTGGGATTTTGTTCTGTTCACACCTGTCCCTTTTCCCTCTCTTCTGTGTCCTTTCAGGCTTCCTGGCTGGTGTCTCGATGTTCTTTTACAAAAGCACAAGCATAACCATGTACCTCTTCTCTAAGTTGGTGGAGGTAAATCACCACGCATCTTAAAGCAGACTCACACTTTGTCATAGAAATAAATGTATCTGGTTATGGTGATCGAATCTCAAGGATGCAGAAACAGTTTACAGTGAATAAACACACAAATTTACAAGCACAAATCTAAGCTAAAAAGAAACTATAAAAGTTAATCTAAAAAAGTTTGATTTCATGTCCCTATTTTTTGAGAGTTGATTATCTTGCAGGATTTGGGCAATTGACTATGTTTAACTGATTTGTTTCTGTTTCATCTGTTTACAACTGGATTTTAACTAAAAATGTGTTTCTACCCAAACCAGTTATATGTTTCCAACCAGCTGCTATCTTGTAAATCAAGCACATCAACTTCCTGTAAAAAAAGGAAAAAAAAATCAGCTTGTTGCTGATGTTGAATCAGTAGGTCTATGGTGATATAAGTAATCATAAATGTTGTTGTTTTACAATCTATAATATGACTTAGTAAGATAAAACGGCATTCATGAACACAAACTTGCTCAAGTCTTTCAATTAGACGATATAAAACTAAAGCTGTGGAACTCAGATCACCTGCTATGTTAACATATAATGATTGAGTTATGTAATAACAAAATGGTTGATGGTTAAACCAGCTGAAAAATCACATTAGTAGCAGCACAGGTTTCAAATTTCTTTTCCTGACCGTTATTTAAAAATTGTGTCAAGCTGAGATGTTTTAGTAATTGCAGTTCATATGCAGTGTTGACTAATCCAAGTTTTTCTGAATTAGGCTTGTTTTATCACATGTTATCTCTTTTTTTAGACCATGTACTTCAAAGGCATTGAAGCAGGCCGGTTCCCTTACTTTCCACACGCAGATACGATTATTTATGCCATCTCCACTGCTATCTGTTTCCATGCTGTAAGTAGCTTTGTAACAAAAACACCCAGGTAATGACATGGACATGCTTCATGTGCAATTTTTTTCTGCTGACTAAGGATATGTCTGGCTCATGACATTTCCACAGGCAGTAATGGAAGTGCAGAACCTCAGACCTTCATACTGGAAGTTCCTGCTGCGTTTAACAAAGGGCAGGTATGACCATATGCTCTAAAAACCTGAAGGGTTGCTTTTGCTTATTACACAACAAATAAATTATGTTTGTCCCTAAAAAAATAGATTAATAAGTACATAGAACTCTGGAACAAAAACAAACAAACAACAAAGAAAACTATGAACTTTTATCACGATGAGGAATTTGTTAAACAGCAATCAAATTATCTTAAGCTAACTATTTCAAATATTAACAGTGAGGGGCATAAAATTGTAGTACTGGTGAATTAGTTAGTTACTAAATTACTCAATCTTTATTCTGTTCCTATGGTGATTAAGGACTATTCCATGTCTCTGTTTCTAGATTTGCTCTGATGAATCGAGAGCTGCTCGACGTGTTTGGGACAGAGGCATCCAGGAATTTTAAAGGGTTTGTGCCCATGTTGGACCCTCGCTACACCACCGTAATCAGCCGGACTGTGCTTCCACCTGGAGGGGACGCTAAGCTTGGGTGACTTGGGGCAAAAGTCTTGAGATAAGACAAAAGAAAAGACAAGAGAAAGTGGACCGTTAGAGTTACTTAAGGCTTTGTAAAGATGACATACCTGAGAAGAAGAAATATTGTAGCGATTCAAAACCTGAAGATTGGGTCAAAGCAGGACATTGTGACTTTCATTTGTGAAGCAGCACAAGTAAGCATACTGACAGTGATTGAACACTTGCAGGTAGCAGGGAAAAATAAATAAGATCCATAATTACTTTCAAAACATATCATTTAGTTTTAAAAAATTCTAGTGTAACTACACTGAGCAAAGCAGAAATCTCACAAAGAAGCCCTTTTCCTTTCTGAGTAGAAGACCAGGCTCACATTAGATAACCTTCAAACCTACTGATAATCAGTCTTCAGTTAATAAATTGTTATAAATTCACTCTGGCAAAAGACTGCATATGAAAGGAAAATATATGATGTCCTCTTAATACATTTTAACCGTTTCAGAAAATCTAATATTCTTCTCTGGTTCATGAAATTTAAAGTTAAAATAAAGGAGAAATTTATTTCCAGCCTACTCAACAAGGACATGACTAAAGCTATAGTTTTTTTTGGCAGTAAATACAATTTATGCTAAAATGTAAACTAGAGTGATGTAAATAATCTCAGTTTCACTATGGCGTCCAACGTTCAGCTCTTTATTCAGGAAGACTTATGATGTTAGCAGTTTTAGTTTACTGCATAAAAACACACACTCGTTCAATTTCCAGTCATGTCTTTCAGTTTTAAGTCACCATTTTGTTCTTTGTGACGACATTGTTTCATTGGTTTTGTTCAGATAAGGGATGGAAAGCAAAGACTGAATAAAATGTGGAGAAAGTAACTTCTTCGTTAGGTACTGGTGTGAGTACGTACGTATGTGTTAAGCTGAAAGTTTTTTTTTAATTTTTTTATTTTCATGAAAATCTATTCTGAGCCACAAAAGGGTCAAAGACCAAACGGTGCATCACCAGTTAGCATGTTTTATCTTCGTGGGCCAGATATTTTCTGTTTTTAGACAAGAATGAGTAATGGAAGGTGATGTGTGATCAGTTAATATAATTTCTTTCATTCCAGCCAAAAATAACGAATCAGATAATTTCTTCATAATTAGTTTAAAAAAGTTCGCAGACATATTTATTAAATAACCACATGTTAGCCAGCCATAGGAAATGAATGTTTTTTCAGCAGTTTATAAGAAAAAAATATTTTTGAATCCGGTTTAGTGTCGCCAGAACGTTTGAGATACTTCATCTAGAGCTCCTAGTTTCCCTCAGAGTATGATGTTTTTTTTTCAGTCAATGTTCATTTCCTGTAAATTGGATCACATTTACATATGCCTGAGATATGCCTAGAAACGCATACAATGACATTAATTCTAACCAAGAAAGGAATAGTAACGCTGCCCGTGATTGTTGTACTTACTGAGTGGAATCTGTTTCTTTTTCTCAACAAAATTTAACTGGTAATTAATACTATGTTTAGAACTGTACCTGTGGAAGTCTGTCTGTATACCGGTGTGCTCTATTTATTGAAATACTTAGTCACCCTGCAGTCAAATGAGATTATTCTACCATTCTTTTGCAGCAAAGAAATGGTAGGAGGTGGGTTTTAAGTATATTGTAAGGAGTGTCTGAATTTTACTGATCACCTGCCTACAATTGTGCAGTTTTTTCATGGTTAAAGGATCAACATTTGATTAGACTTAGATATAATTCATATTTCAAATTGTGATAAAAGGCATTTTCAAAATGTTATTTGTTACTGGCATAATCATTTTTGCACAAATCCAATGCTGAATTAAATTTTTAATGTAGATTTTTGTTCAAACTACCTTCACCGAACAACTGAATGCCACAAACAAGAATTTGGGGAAATTGAAAAATATCACAGAGCACAATACAGTTTTCTTTTCTTTTTGAACAGCGACACAGATGCTTAAATGATTTTATTCCTCGAAGAGTGAAAAACAAGCTCACTTTAAAAGAGATTGTCATCATAAAACTTAGAAACTTTTGTGCTTTTTAAAAATTTTCTTTCAATGGAGGGTTATATAGACAATGTAGTTTGTGAAATCTTGCACACATATTTATGGAAGTTATTTGAAATGCCAGTTTGTTTACGTTAAATTATGCAATCACTTGAATGCAGCTCCGCTTGAGGTGCACCTGACCTCTGTACTGAAATCCATAAATATGACAAGTGCTTAGGAAGTATACATATACACACACACACACATTAAAGGTGAGATTTTATGAAGTGTGACATTTTAAGTAAATATACTGTTGATAGTTACATTGTATGTTTTAGGAATTTATTCATCTAAAGAGGGTTTATATTAAAATGATTCTTAATCCAAATTCAGGACTCGTTTGTTTGTTTTTTTGTACTGATTATGTTTGTGTAGATTATAAACGCAGTGTTTACATCATTTTGTTTTCACATCAGTGTGTGGTTTCCATTAATTGTTAGGTTAAAATATTCAGTAGATTTCAATTATACAGAAATTGGACTGCAGTGTGATGTAATAAGTACAGTTCAGTATAGTTTTGAAAATTGCTCTTTGGTTATAATTTAGTTGTATTAAAAATTTTATTGACTCAGAAGTAACCCAGAAAATAAGTTGAGTACATGTGAAAATTATAATTTGAATAATTATTTAGGTCAGAACACTTGCTATCTATGAAACTGGTACCAGTTTTATCATTACTTCTAATTGTTAGCTTGATAGAAACTTCATCTTAGGGCTCTTTTGCAAATCTTTGACTTGTCATCTTTGAGCTCTTTCTCTCAATTTCTTTTCCGGATGTTGCTTTATTTTGAAAAAAAAAGAAAGGAAATCATAGTCACGTGGTTTTGTTTCGTTTGCTGCGTTCGGGAAAATCGGAATTTAAAATTTTAAGAAATAAAACAACTCAACAAAATTCCATTAAGTTAATTATTTCGGTGCGGAATTCAGTATTTACAGCATGCCTGGTTATCATTAATTATTTGACCATAGTTTGTTTCATACAGAAAGCGAGGAGAGGAACTATTTTCTCAACTTGTTGCTTTAAATATGTTAAGGTCTATAGTGACGTAGGACTGAGATGGTATTGGTCACTTCCGAGTTGAGGTCCTATGTGATAGCTAGTAAGAACACATTTGTATAAGTTATAGAGTTCAGATGTAGGAAGATCATCATGGGGGGAAAGAACAAACAACGAACAAAAGGAAATGTTCGGGTAAGCAACCACCAATATCTGTGAAACAGCGTTGATGGTACAAAGTGAGCTAACACGAGCTAATACAAACTTCGTGGTTTCAGCTAAAACGACGCATGTTTAAACTGTTTGACGACCATAAACTGACCATCAGGCGTATTTTTATTACCTCCATTGTTGTGTGAAATCACGTATTGTTTCCTGTAATCAGCCGTCCAGCAGCGGCCGAGCTGCGGAGGTTCTGGCCCGGGAAGGGGGTGCCATCCCGGGCTTCGTGGGCTTCGACACCACGGTCACCTCTGAGCTGAGTTATGTCCCAGCTGTCCACGGAGCGGAGGAAATAGACAACCTGGTGGATGCTGATTTCCGCCTAGTGCTAAGGAAACTCTCAAAGAGGGATGTTGTCACCAGACTGAAAGTGAGCTTGATCTGGATCTGTTCGGAATGTTGATCTGCAGAATCAGACATAATGTATATTTGATGCTCTTGTGAACTTGAAGCGAAATATGTTGTTTTCTTTGTAAAAATTAGGAGTAAAAACATCACCTTCGAGCTCGTATCGTTGAGAGTGTGTTTAATAAGCTTGTTCTTCTTAGGCAGTGCAGGACTTTGGGGCCATGTGTCAGGAACGGGATGCAGAAGAGGTGAAGGGAGTTCTGCCATACTGGCCAAGAATTTACTGCAAGATATCAGTGGTAAGTTGTTAATTCACTTGACATTCATACAGTTATCCACTCAGCATAGTCACTTTACATAATCTAATTTGATAAACCAATCTGCCAGTGATGAAAGTTGGCCATTTGTCTTCCTACTCATTAAGCTTTAAAACAAAATAACTATATTTTTTATTTACACGCACAGCAATTAACAGTGTGTACTGTGATGCATGTGAGACATGATGTGATGCATAAATGTAACTAATAGTGTAACAGCAGCACATTTTACTCTCATTTGAATCCTTAATAAAATAGATATTGGTCTTGATCTCTAATGTTTTTAATAGTTGAAATAATTAATTTTTAAACTAATTTTCCAATCATACATTAAAGTGTTTCTTTGTTTCTCATTTCATGTGTTAGGACCATGACCGCCGTATCAGGGAGGCCACTCAGCAAGCTTTTGAACAGCTGGTGCTAAAAGTGCGTCGCAGCCTGGCCCCCTTTCTGAAGAGTTTGATGGGCCACTGGATTCTATCGCAGTGTGACACTTACACACCCGCAGCCTCTGCCGCCTGCCAGGCCTTTCAGGTTGCGTTCTCACCTGCTAAACAACCTGAAGCTCTCAGCTTCTGCAAGGACGAGATCCTTACTGTGAGTGGAAATGTTGGCTTTTCTGCAGAAATGTGGATTCTTGTGCTAAAATACACAGAAGTGGTACATTGCAGAAATATCCCTACTCTTAAAGGTTTTCATGTAATTTTTGCAACTGCAAACATCAGTATATTTTGTTTTGGTTTTATGTGCATAACAGAGTTTGAGGATATTTTCTGTCTTGTCACAGAATTTTATTTAGAGCTGAACTTTGACTGCACGATTCTATTTGCCTGCATCTGTCAGCATTTACACTGGTTAAATTTCACACAGGTGGTCTCAATTCACTAATTAATCATTACGGAAGGCAATTGCTTTCATGGATTTTTATTAGAAAGCTATGACAGGAAAATGAGCTGAATACAAATGCATGTCACCCTGTCCATATATTTATTTGTAAAAAATGTTGAAAACAATATCATCATTGTTTTCCCTCTTTCCGAAAATGCATTGCTTTGCATTGGTCCCTCATAAAATCCAAATAAAAACGTTGAAGTTTATGGTTGTGATGTGACAAGAAATTTCTAAAGGTCCTAAGTATGTAAGACATATAATTTATTACTGTGTTGCAGGTGCTTCAAGATGTTCTATTAAAGGAAACCGCAGACACTCTCAGTGATTCACAGTATGTTAAAAACCTTTACTTAATCTTAGCTTCTGTCTGTTCCTTTTCTGTGTGTGTGCAGTAATGATATATTTTTGAGAAAAAGATTTACTGAGGCACTGATTTCTCTTGTTCAACAGAAGTGTGTCAGAAGAGGAAAGAGAAACCAAATATGTTCGCATGCTGACCAGCTCGCTGTTGGGGGTGAAGAGGCTACTCTCCTTACTGCTTCAGGATGACAGGGCAGCACTGCAGCAAAGATTAGGTCTACTGGCTAACTCTGGAAAGTTCTGGAAATACAGCAAGCACAAGACGCCACAGGTGTGCATTAAATGACGTTTACATTAAAAGCGAGAAGATTCGAACAAGAACATGTGCTTCGTTAGCCCTTGTTACTACAGCAACTCCCTGTCAGTCATTACTGAGTTGCAGTAACCCCGTGTGTTGCTCCACAGGTCAGAGGAGCCTTTTTTGAGATGCTGTGTGCTCTGTGTGAATTCACACCTGATCTGGTTCAGAGCGAAGCAGCACGACTCTGCCCTGCTGTTCTCCTCAGTATCGATGACACAGACCCTCTTGTGCTTCCTCACGTGTGGGAGGCAGTTCTTCATGTTGTGTCCAGTATTCCTGTGAGTTTGAACGACCCTGCTTCCTCAGAGCCCACTGTCCTGCATGTTGTAGGGGTTCCTCTGCTGCCATAGTCCTGACCAGCAGAATCAGTTCTGTTGGAGCAGAGTAACATCTAAAACATGCAGGACAGTGAGCCTGTCCTGCATGTTCTTTATATGTCTATATGTTGTCTGAAATTGGTTTTAATAGTGAAATCAGTAGGTAAATCAAAGAGAATTCTAGATGTTTATTGGTAGATCAGGTGAAAAGATATTATTCCCTGTTTTGATACCAGGAAACAAAGCAGGGATATTTCTGAGAGAAAATCACTTGAGCATTGCTAAACTTTTTAGTACTTGCCATTAGGCTGTGCAATAAACCCAAAAACTGCATCTCAAAGTTTACAGGACTGAGTTGTTATGTTACATGCTACATTTCAGGTCAATACTACTAGAAAAAACTGACTAGCTTCTGACTTGTTTGGAAGCCAGGAGAATGTCTCTTTAGTCTACAAATAAAATGGCAAATAAAAAGCTGCAGTTGAAGGAACTACTGGACTTCAGTGAAGACAAGTAGAGCTTTGGACAGCTCATATGCAGCCTGAAAAATCCCAGACATGGCC